CTAGTTATATCAGAAAAAAGGAAAGATGAGAGATGACAATTAATCTTTTTAATATGAAAAATGTATGGTGTCCAAAAATTCTTTGAGGGCAAAGCTCTCAAAGAATGCTCTCCGCAGGAGCATTGGCTTCTTCACATGAAGGAAAATTTTTTTTAGCAATGTTATAACATTATATATATATTAATATATAAATATTTTTTTTAATTTGTATCACCATTAAAGGTCACGTGACATAAAAATTTTATTGCATTTTTTGAGCACAACTTACAATTCTGAGTTTTGAAGATTTTTCCCAAAATTGGCCACGAGGCGCAGCAAGTTGCGGGACTAGGTGACTTGCACCATATATAGAATATTTTTGGTTGTCGATCATTACAGTATTTGGAAATTCCAAATTTGGAAAGATCCCTGACTGTATTATAATTTCAAAACCAAATCCATCCATTTGATATTTAAAAAAAAAGCTTATGGAGTTAATTAGGAAGCCGTGGGATAATAAATAATACAATACAAAAAACCTCAACCTTGTTTTTTAGGGATGTTAATGGTCCCAGTTCGGCCAGTCCATACCTCAATTAATTCATACTAATACATGTTTACTTGATTTTTTTATTCTAAATCTCCATTTTTCCATTTCTAAATTTCCCAGATTTCATATTCTATATTCACCTAAATGGCATTTTTAAGCTCATGCAGATAAAATTTAATGTCAACAGTAACTTGTTAAATTAAATAATTTCCAACCTTTCAACAGAACTATTCATAATCTATACACACCATCCTCATTCTACCTTCAATTAATTCATACATACATATTTCCATTTCTCCATTCTAAATTTCCTTTTCTATATTCATATCTTCTGATCCAAATGGCATTTTTACAGCTAAACTGATTTTATATCCAGGGACATTTCTTAAAATTAATCAATTGCCAATTTTTAAACACAGATTGAAATTAGGAAGATAAAGATATAGTCTTAAAACTTTTGTGACAAAGTTATAAACTAGGTAGGGTATTTATTACTAAGAGAAGTATTGTTTTTTGTGTAATAACACTATTTTGCAACATTCTGAGGACTGATAAATAATAATAATAATAAAATTATACAAAGTGTTATTGGCTTTTCAATAACAAATGTATTTTGTCACTTCTTGCTCATTCGCTCAATAACACAATATGAAAATTGGAAGAACATGAACCTAGAATCATCGAGCCTGCTCAAACATCCTTTAGTATCAGGCTCTTTACCAAATTTTGTTAATGGTAATCACAAATATTATTATTATAAACCTTTTTATAGAGGTTGGGATCATCCAAAAAATCCTTAGTCAACTACTAGTTGATCAAAAATTTCTTTAGTATTAGTTGACTATTTTAGTCAACTAAAAATTTTTTTTTAATTTGCAAATTGTGAATTCATTTCCATTTGAATCTTTCACTTTTCAAAATGCTTCCACACAAAACTATGTGTTATGATTTGTTTTTTTAAAGGTCTTCTGGAACCACTGCTTAAATCATTGGAACTTGAAGCCAATGAATTATTGAACCTTGTATTGGAAGTGTTTATTCATTCACATGTAAAATTATCATCAACAACACACTACTATTGTCATCATCATCATGTCATATTGATGGTATTGATACTTTTCCACATAAAAATTTTCCATTTTGAATGATAAAACACAAAAATTGTAATTGGCCAGACAATAATAACATTAGTATTAGTATTAGTATTAGTATTAGTAATTAGTATTAGTATTAGTATTAGTATTAGTTATAGATGTTAGCCGAAATTGCCTCTCTTAATATTAATAAATGATCATCGCCGAATCCGAAATGCCGAAATAGTTTCTGAAATTAACTTTATTAGTTGCCAAAATTATATCCAAAATTATTTGGACTCATTAACATAATAGCCGAAATGCTAGGTTGTCTTTTTATGGTCTTTAATATGAAAAATATTGTGAATCTGAAATTGCTTGCCGAAATTGATTTTTTCAAAAACAATTTCGGCTAACATCCTTAGTATTAGTATTAGTATTAGTATTAGTATTTAGTATTAGTATTAGAAGTTGACTAAATAATTGATTAAATTAGTTGACCATTTAATTGACTAAGATAGTTGACTATTAGTTGTTCAAAAAAAAAGTTTAGTTGATTATTTTAGTTGACCTTTTTGTTGATAACGTTGACATCATCAACAACAACAACATCACTAACGATAGTTACAATATTACAAAGGGTTGATTTCCCTTTTAAATAGTTTAATGATAATTAATATTAATATTACATAATAATAATAGGAGATAAAAAATATAATATCTATATATTGTTTGTCTGCCTAAAATTTTTATATGGCACGCATTAATGAATTGAAGTTATATGTTTGATCATTCATTTCAGGAAATATAGTAATGTTTAATTATCCTTAGCTCTGTATATTGTTGCAATACTGCCATATGTAAATGTTTTTTTATCATTTTAATATCATTATGTATCTGTTTGTTTATCACTTTACTACCACCACTACCACCAATCTGTCTACATTCGTAAGTAGTGTTATTATTGTATATACAATCTTTTGCTTTTTTTTGACAACCATTATTGTTGGATATATTATTATTGCATATATCTTTTTTTATAATAACAATGATTATGATCTCAACTAGTATAATCATAATTTCCACTTTTTTTTTATAAGTTGGATTTTTCTAAAAATTCTTTTTAATCTTGTTTGGTAAAAGTACATCATATTTATATTAATATGAGTTAAGTCCTTGTTAATTAAATCAGGTTTATTTTTCCCGAGGAAAATTTTGTTTATATTTACATAGTTCAGGTTTGTGTATCTATTTTTTGTTGATCAGTAAATTCTATTTTTCTGAAATAATTAATCAATGCTATTGTTCCTTATTGTTATTGTTATTACTATAATAGTAAACAAGTCGGGAAAATTTTTACTTACTATAACGTAAATGCATATGCAACCCCAAAATTCAGCACGATATGATCATAATGTTATGCATACTACTAGCAAAAAACCCATTTGGTTTTGAGGTGGGGCCATTGGTTTGACGGGCTGTTCAACAGTAAAATAGTTTTTTTAGCGATGCAAATAAATTTTTTTTAGAGTTAATTATCATTTTGCTGACCAGTTTACGCATTAAAAATACTCGTGTTTAATGTTGAGACACAATGATATAATAATAAGGTTTAAAAAAAGGGTCCAAAGGCCAAATGGTGCTCGTTTATGAAGTATGTGTATTTCCCTATTGAATGGATTTATCATCTCATTGAAAATGAGTCGTAATGATGAAATTTACTGTTATCTTAGCCCACCGATCTAGAGAAACAACTTGAATTAAAAATAATAATAAATTACATTGAAATAGATCACCCTAATTTCCGATGAAAAATTCACCTATTGCAGAATGCGGACTAATTTTTGAAGGTTCGGAAATGTGAGAATCACCACCAAATTTGATTCATTCCTTCACCAATCATAGGTAATATTGGATAAAAACCTTAGTTTTGAAATAATGCTAACTATAGCTTTACATAGAGAGCCTCTTTCAATGTAAGAGAGAATGGATGCATTGGTAACTCAATTTATTTTATGATGTTTGAACTTGTTATAAAGATAATGATAATAATAGAGAGATATTTTGGAACCAATTCGGAATTTTTTATTAATATTAATATTATATTGATTGATATGAATGATCATCGATCAACTGATTTACCGTTATCTCACAAATTGCACAAAGTATGATTATGATCTCAACTAGTATAATCATAATTTCCACTTTTTTTTTATAAGTTGGATTTTTCTAAAAATTCTTTTTAATCTTGTTTGGTAAAAGTACATCATATTTATATTAATATGAGTTAAGTCCTTGTTAATTAAATCAGGTTTATTTTTCCCGAGGAAAATTTTGTTTATATTTACATAGTTCAGGTTTGTGTATCTATTTTTTGTTGATCAGTAAATTCTATTTTTCTGAAATAATTAATCAATGCTATTGTTCCTTATTGTTATTGTTATTACTATAATAGTAAACAAGTCGGGAAAATTTTTACTTACTATAACGTAAATGCATATGCAACCCCAAAATTCAGCACGATATGATCATAATGTTATGCATACTACTAGCAAAAAACCCATTTGGTTTTGAGGTGGGGCCATTGGTTTGACGGGCTGTTCAACAGTAAAATAGTTTTTTTAGCGATGCAAATAAATTTTTTTTAGAGTTAATTATCATTTTGCTGACCAGTTTACGCATTAAAAATACTCGTGTTTAATGTTGAGACACAATGATATAATAATAAGGTTTAAAAAAAGGGTCCAAAGGCCAAATGGTGCTCGTTTATGAAGTATGTGTATTTCCCTATTGAATGGATTTATCATCTCATTGAAAATGAGTCGTAATGATGAAATTTACTGTTATCTTAGCCCACCGATCTAGAGAAACAACTTGAATTAAAAATAATAATAAATTACATTGAAATAGATCACCCTAATTTCCGATGAAAAATTCACCTATTGCAGAATGCGGACTAATTTTTGAAGGTTCGGAAATGTGAGAATCACCACCAAATTTGATTCATTCCTTCACCAATCATAGGTAATATTGGATAAAAACCTTAGTTTTGAAATAATGCTAACTATAGCTTTACATAGAGAGCCTCTTTCAATGTAAGAGAGAATGGATGCATTGGTAACTCAATTTATTTTATGATGTTTGAACTTGTTATAAAGATAATGATAATAATAGAGAGATATTTTGGAACCAATTCGGAATTTTTTATTAATATTAATATTATATTGATTGATATGAATGATCATCGATCAACTGATTTACCGTTATCTCACAAATTGCACAAAGTACAAAAATTAGAATTTTATTTTTAAATAAATAAATGGTCAAAGGTTTTATTTTTAAGCTTTGAATGCAAAATTATTAAAATTCTTTGCCCACTAAAATTCATTTTTATTTTATTATTTCCAACATTCAATTCTTCTTTCAACAATATCCTTTGCTTCTTTAGCTGACAGATGATGAATACCTAGATTTTCCAACATTCTAGTTATCTCTATAGGTTCTACTTCTTCATTATAAAGTATTGAAGTCACATATGACAATGAGTTTTGTTTTGATCTTTTGTCTTCATCATTGTTATCATGATTAACTGTCGGCTTAATATTCTTTTTAGATGGAAGGGTCAACAAAATACAAGCTTCTTTTATCCTGTTAATAATAAAAGGGAGAAAAAACAGCAATTATAAATGTTAAAGTTGATTTCTATGGCTAATTGATCATTTAAAAATGAAAAAAAAGATGAATGAATGAAATACCTCTTGAAATAATTTTCTGGTTTTTTCACCCATCTTTTCCCAATAAAGAATAATCCCTTTTCCATATCAGCTTTAAATTGGAATCCGCCCATTTCAGAAAATTGGTTTCGCATAAGAATACGATCCCAAATGTAACCCTGCAATTCCTCAGAAACTTCTTTGAATATTAATTTGAAAATTCTTGTTGGTAGATTATTCGATAAAAAGTTAAATGATTGTGCAAGATCAGAAAGAGGGGCATAAAGATCCGGTGATAATTCAAGAAGAACAGTATTGCTATTATTATTACTGCTAAAATGAAAAAGACAAGTTATTGGCTTGAACAATGACCAATCAGTTTGCAATTTAGTAAAGATAATAATTAATACTTTTTACTATAAACTTTCAATCCATTCAAAAATTCTTTGGAAACATTTTTTACTATTATTGCTTGAATTCTTTCAAAAGAATGATCAAATAAGCCAGCCGGATCATCAAAAACAGTTCCTTCATCAACAGTTATTTGTACTTCTACTTTGTTTGCAGATGATTTATCAGTAATACCATCAGGAAATGTTGGCGAGGATAATGGAGATGTGCCAGTATCTCGTGCTGCACGTACTGTCACTTCATGCCATAATTCAAGAAAAAACTTGAAAAAGAGAATAGTTAATTTAATAATCATAATTTTGTTTGTACACAAATTTAATAACTCAAAAGTTTGTTTGTATAATAGTTACATTCTTACCGCATCTTCACCCCATTCTTTAATTGTTCGGCTTACGTATCCAGCACTATTCAACCACCTACATAACCTTTTCAAGCCTTCAATACTACTAGTAAACTTTCCTTCAGTGCTAGAAGTGTTAGGAACAGCCCTTACAAACGAATACCCCAAATTTTCAAATGCATCAACAGCAGAATCAATCCTATGTGCATACGATATTAATAATTCAGCTTGAATATCAACAAGAAATCGTATACGGTTATGAAACAAAGGCAACAATTTATAACGACCTAGAATAAAATTATATATATAAATATTGATATATATAAAGTTGACAGAAAACATTATTATTGTAATAAATACTTGTAACTAATTCCAATAAATTCATCAATTTTTTTGCAGACTTTGTAGGCTTAAATTCATCTTCCGCCCCATCTTCATCCTCTATTTCCCATGCATCTTCAGAATGCATTATCTCATCATAACGAGCCTCAGCAACTAACATATAAATAATTAGTTACGTTTTCATTTGAAAACATTTTAATATTATGTATAATATATATATGTATAATATATATATAAAACCTACAGCTTTTTTCAACTTTGAGCCATGCTTTAAACCATTCTTTTTTTCCTGTGAAAACATCAACACATCCCTTCCATTCTTTTTTCCCTGGTGGAACATACATATGTAATTCACGAAGAGTTTGATCAAGTTGTAATGTTTCAAACACTGTGTGTGAGAATACTTGTGGTGAATTTAGTAATGTGGGCATACTAAGAGTTAATTTGTTTGTAACTACAACAAGTAAAGAACATATAAACTCATTCTGAAAATAATAATAAAATTGTATTAGAAATATTAATATAAATAAAATCAAAGCAAAACTTATTTATTTAATTGAAAAAATTATTCGAGTACTTTAGCATGGTATTTTTGAAAATTTGCTTTATCCAAGATTGGTTGAACAACTTCTTGTAAAAATGGTGAATGTTCACGGATAGCAGTTAAAATGTATGTAAAGTACCATTCTGGCTACAACAAAAAAATATATTAAAATAAATGGATAATTAAAAAAAATATTTAATTATTAATAACCTACTACTACTACTACTACTATTATTATTATTACAACAATATACCTTATCAATTCGATTTGTTGCTCTTCTGGAATTAAAATGAAAATTAAATTTCACTTTCAAAGGATCAACCATTATTTGAATTGGTATAAGAGGTGGAGGTCCTTCTGCCTTACTATTATTGTTACTGTTGCTGTTTTCTTTAGAAGAAGAAGAGCCTGGCTCTAAATACTTTGAATCAGTCATCGACTCAATTGGTTGTTGTAATATAAGTAAATCTGTAAAAGCATTGGTAAATGCTGATAAATTATCAGAGGTGATTGAATTATCAGATAATAAATTTATTGGAGTAGGCCAGTTAAGTGAATCAAGTGTTTGTTGAAATTTTCTAAATTAATATATGTAAAAACTTTTCATTTATATTGTGATAAAAGTGGAATTCTTTTTTAATAAAAAATAATAAATAAATTAAAAACACACTTTGATAATCTACTCTTCATATCATCCCATAAAGCATCAACACTTTGTTGCAAAAAAGCATCTAAATTTTTTATTGAGTAACCCACTTGTTCATTTTTATATTTAATCTTATGTGCAAGTTGCATAAGTTGAGTGTAAGGTACAAGTGCTTTTTGTGGAGACTTTTCGACCAATTGTTTTGCTTGATTGCTATAAATGATCAAATTCAATTCAACTCAAAATTAGTACAGCTTTATATCTATCTATCTATCTCTATAGCATATATTTATATTTATACTAATATGTAAGTTACCTCAATTCATCAGCTATTACCAATATTTTCATGTATTTTTTGGATTTTCCTAATCCATAAACTTGACGTTGTAGTTTGATTAATTCATCCAACAAATCATCTTTTTTTTTTGAACCAAAATGTCCATTATCAAATATTTCGAATTGGGATGCCAGCCAATCACCCAATTCCAATCTTGTGGATTGAAGGTTTTCAAGTTCTGTTACTGTGGCATTAAACGAGGAAAGGGAATATTTTAAAGTTTCTGATGTTTCACTATGTATTTGAATAAACTTGGGAATGTCATTGATATTTCTTTTTAGTAATATTGAATAAAATTGATTTCAATTAAACCATGGTTATTGCCATTATAATTTAATACATGTGGTGTATTTGGCATACCTTTTCATTCAAAACTTGATGTTCATCATTTAAAACATCTAATATGGAATTAATGTTTTCCAAGTCTTCTAATTCTGTAAATCGTGAATTTAAAAAATCAACAATGTAATTTTCCGTTACGGTCTCATCAGGTTCTTTTACAAGTGATTTTAAATCATCAATTATAGAATCTTTTGGAAATTGAGTAGTCATTTTTTTATTCTCCAAAAATTATTATCATGCTCCCCATACTCGAATTTCATCCCATATCCTATTTATGATTAGACTCACCCAGTGTGAAATTTAAAGGGCTTGTATCACGTTGTACTTAATTCATGTGACTCAAAATTTGTGTGATTATCAATATACATGTGGTCAAAATTATGCGTCACCAATCATAATTTTGATGCGTTGACGCAAGACGCAATTCGCGACGCAAGACGAAATTCATGACGCAAGACGCAATTCGTGACGCAAGATGAAAAAATACGCATTTGGAAATCTTGATTGCAAAAAATGGTTGTAAAACTCTTAACATTACTATTATTAATCACTATTTATTTACCAATCAAATTTCTTTGAATTATTAATATATGTGAATTTTTTTTTCGAGATTATTAATAAAACAATAAAATAAATTTTTGATTCTTTTCTTTTTTCAAGTAACAAAATTTTTTTATTTACAATTAACAAAAAAAAAATCTTTTTACATTCACTTTCTTTTATTTACTGTTAACAAAAAATATAAAGAATTAACACAAAAAATAAACTCATTCACCTTCCAAAGAATCAATTTTTTATTTACAATTTAAAAAAAATTAAATCTTATTATGAATTCTTCTGAAGATGATGTTTCTACATCCACATTTATTACCAGAAAATCCAGTTCGGGAAGACCTGAGATGCAAGTATGGAACCATTTTAATAAAACCGTTTCTAGTAGTAGGGGACATTATGCAGCTACCTGTAATTATTGTGAAAAAATTTGGGCACGTGGTAAACCAGATGAACTTCAAAATCATCTTGCAAGTGAATGTGACAAGTGTCCAGGAACTATCTGTGATGAATTCATTGAAATTGTTTCAAATCGAACATTAAAAGAAAAAATAAAAATAAAAAAAATAATCAGTCTCATATTGGTGATTATATGGAAAGTACAAGATTGAATGATAACAAACGAAATAGTATCAATCAAGCATTGGGACGATTTTTTATAACTTGTTCTATTCCATTTGCTGTTGTTGAACACCCATTTTTTGTTGAATTCTGTAAGCAACTTAAACCAGCCTATGACCCACCCAGCCATACATCAATTTCAAATACCATTTTAAATTCAGAAAATGCTTGAATTACAATAAAAATCAATGAAGAACTTCAAAAAGAAGAGAATATTACAATTGATAAATATTTTTGGCTACTCAAAAAATATTTTTTGTTAATGAATGATCAATTAATTATCCCTATTTTTAGCCATTGATGGTTGGAGTGATCCCAATAATAGAAATTTATACAATTTTGTACTCATGACTTCAGACAGAAGAGAACACCTTTGGAAAATAGAGGATTTTTTTTCTTTTAGTATCACTGGGGATTTTCTGGCAGCTGAAATTGAAAAAGTTATTGAACAAATTGGCCCCAAGAAATTTGTTGGTTTAGTTACAGATGGAGCTGCAAATTGTGTTGTTGCTAGACGTAAAATTAATGAAAAATATCCAAATATATTTACAATGTGGTGTGTTGCTCATCATCTAAATTTACTTTCAAAAGACCTCTGCAAACATGAATTTGCAGATAATACAATTAAAAAATGCCAAACTTTGGTAAATTTTTTTAAAGTCACATTTGGGAATGGCAGCACTCTGTGAATCAATGGAAAAGCTGCAAATAAAAGGTGGTGGAATTAAGACATTTACAAAAACTAGGTGGTCTACTGTCTTTGATATATGTGAGACAATATTAAGATTATGTTCTGCTTTTGAAGATGTAAGAATTAATTCTTTGTTTTACATGACACAATTCAAATATTTTAAAAAAATTTATCTTTTCTAATTATAAATTATAAGAGAAAAACCAGAAATTTTAAGTAGTTTATGCATTAGAACAATCAATTCACATGGCTTTTTTGATGACATATGTCAATTAACCATAGTCCTTCAACCAATAAAAAACACAATTGGAATCCTTGAGTCAAAAAATACAACCTTAGCTAATTGTTTTTTAATCTATGCTGTCTTGCATCAGCAATATATTATATACCAGCTATTTACCAACAATACTTATCAAAATTTTCGTAATTATTGTATTGATAAATTTAATGAGAGATGGGTCCAATTTGAACACAAGCTATTTCTTTTAACATATTTTCTCCACCCAAAATATCATGGTAGGTAAAAATGTATCTGCAAAAAATTTTTATTAAATAATTATTTATAAAATTTTTAAATTTTAAAGGATGTGGATTACAAGATAATATATTTAGAGAGAATTGTTTGTTTGCTGGTGAATTGTTGCGAAAAATTGGTTATAACACATCAGCAGTTAATTGTTTAATAGCTCAGCTTCGTAGATATTGGCTTAATAAACCTCCATTTGATCTGGGGTTTGATTCTTTAAGAGATACACCTGTCACTTGGTGGCAAACATGCGTTGAAAAACCACATTTTATTCAGACAATTGCTCTTAATTTACTAAGCATTGTACTGCATTCAGCAAATTGTGAAAGAATCTTCTCTGTGCTTTGATGGTTTTTTGGTCAATGAAGATCAAGGTTAGATCCAAACCAGATTTCAAAGATGGCCAGAATTCATTCGTATTTATATATCAAATTCAAAAAATCTATTACAATATTTTGGTCAAGAATTAACATCTGAACAAATTGAAGCACAAGTAGTTAATGCAACATATCATCTTACTAATTCAAATGAAATTGAAGAAGATGTCCCGTTTGCTTCCTTATCAGATGATGGAGATGATGAATTACCTCAAGATTCTAGAACATTTGTAAGTGAAGAAGAATTAAGACATGTATTGCAATTGGAAACATATGTAATTATTTCTAATCAAGTATTTGTTAGCAATTTGGTAAATATTCAAGATGATGATAGTAATAATAATAATGATGATGATTATGTTGAAAATTATATTGGGGATACAGATTATAATGTTAATATATTAGTGGATGATATTTTAAATAATGAAATTGATTAAATATAAAAATGATAGTATTTTTTTTTATCATGTTTGAAATTTTTGTGAATTGCACAAAACTTCATATAATAAAAATATTAATTTGCTTATAATTATGGATATTTTATATAATGAATTTAATACATACAAAAGTTTTTCAATTAGACCATAACCTTTTAAAGTTATGAAGTAGAAAATCGCAAATAAATAAATAATGTAATCTTTATCATTTTTGCAAGATTTGAAAACATCACTTTCAGATAGTTTATATCACTCACGAGTCTTGCGTCATGGATTGAGTCTTGCGTCACGAATTGCATCTTGCGTCACGAATTGCGTCTGCGTCTTGCGTCTGCGTCAATGCGTCTCACACTAAACTAATTGCGTCACATGACTTTTAATTTTGACGACATGTATAGTTTCGACTAAATAAATAAAATAGAAATATTTTATTTAAAACTTTTATCTTTAACCAAAATTATTCGCTAATAACAAAATCA